GATAGATAGATAGATAGATAGATAGATAGATAGATAGATAGATAGATGTCGGGTTCATACACTACAACATGAGTGTCCAACCTTGGCAACTTTAAGACATATGGACTTCAATTATCAGAGCTGGCTGGGGAATTCTGGAAGTTTAAAATCGCCAAGGTTGGACACCCCTGCACTACAATATTCTTGAGTCCCCAATGCGAAATGAAGATACAACAGAGACACATTTTAAGGCCTTTCTGGAAGGCCAAAAGAGTAGTGGCAGATCTCATAATAGCCAGTTGTCCTGGAGCATAGGAACTATGGCAGAAAAGGCTTTCTTCTAGACTCTGGCTAGCTGAAATTCCTTGGCCATGGGCTCTGTAGCAAGTTCTTCCTGCTGAAGCAAGTGGAGCAGGCCAATGACACTGGGGCAAGCCAGTTCCCCAGAAAACCTGTTCCCATGCCATGAAAGGCTTTAAAGGTCATAACCAACACCCCAAATTGGATCCAGCAAGAAAATGGCAACCAATGCAGCTTGCAAAAGACAAAACAAACTCCATAGGGTAATTAAGCATAATTGAACCACCCAGTCATTATCTGTCCAGAATCTCTCCCAGCCCTAACTTAGAGATGGCCAAAAACTGAGTGTCAGAGTTTTACCTCCAATGTTATGGCGCCTCGTTCCCATTTTGCATGAATACATTTGCTACTTAAGGATGACCGGGAAATGTTTGGATGTAGAGAGAACGATAGGAAACACTCAAGACCCTGATGGAAGTTAGAGGCATGCAAGTTAGAGATAAGAGAGGGCGTGGGAGCGTCAAATAAAATTCAGAACAAAGATAAAGATGGTTCAACAGGGATCCAATTCTTCCTGAATTCCTAGCTAGTAAATCAATCAATTTGTTTTTAATTGGGGCATATTTTGCCCAGAGTAAAGAGCCTTTTACCAACAACAAGAAAGAGACTGCAAATAGCTCCTAACCACTGATTCTCCTTCTACCCCTCTTAAACCAGGGATCTCCAATCTTGGCAACTTTAAGACTTGTGGACTTCAACTCCCAGAATTCCTCAGCCAAGGTTGGAGACCCTGTTTTAAACCTCTATGTAGTAATGATACCCTATCTTAAGTTTTTACCTTGTACATCTCAGCTTCCAGCTTCCATTACACTAGAGTCAAAAAAGAAAGCTTCATCCCAATATAATGCTGTGTATCCAGTCTTAGTCCACATCCAACTTGGGGCAAAGAGTTTTCATATAGGAACAATATCCTTGAGACACAATTAAACCAGCAGGCTATAACCCTCATCTTATATACCTGCTGCTTAGCAGGGTTCTTTATTTCCTTATTATAGTAATTTGTATACCACCTGCAAATGCTTCACCTTTCCCTGGGGGCCATAAGCCAGTGGACATCTCCTTTGTATGTTAGCAACCCACAACTTGATGCTTTCAATATAGTCTACTCTGACTCCCAGAATCCTTAGGCATAGCTGGCTATTGATTACAGATAGTCCTTCACTTCTGGCCACAATTCAGCCCAAAATTTCGGCTGCTAAGCAAGACAGTGGTCAAGTGAGCCTTGCTCAATTTTACAATCTTCCTTGACACAGTTTTTAAGTGAATCACTGCGGTTGTTAAGTTAGTAACATGATTGTTAAATGAGTCTGGCTTTCCCATTGACTTTGCTTGTCATAAGGTCGCAAGAGCTGATCACATGATCCCAGGACGCTGCAACCATCATAAATATCACATGACTATTGGGATGCTGCAACAGTCGTAATATGAAAAATGGTTGTAAATTACTTTTTTCAGGTCCATTGTAAATTCAAAACGTCCCTAAACATATGTTTGTAAGTCAAGGACTGCCCGTACTGAAGCCCAGCTTGGGGAAGACTGCTCTACGTGGATCAGAATATCTGTCAAAGAGCCAGAAAGCTTCCTGCTAACAACTTCTTTCAACTCATTACCGTTGGTTGATATCATCCATTGCAAAAGACTGGACTGTGAATGCATAGTTTGTGACTCACATTGTATATAACTTCACGGACATTAGTAGCCCACTTGCAACACAAACATATGTGCACGCACACCCCTTTGTGATACTGGGAAATTGTTCAGTTTTTGCTTGGTTATCCTCAAGTAACCTCTAGTCAGCCTATGAAATCCTGCTTCAGCAGGGGGTTGGACTAGATGATCTCCAAGGTCCCTGCCAACTCTTGTTATTCTGTCCTCTCAGCCCAAACACAGAGCACATCAAATGTCTGTTTGACTTGATAAGACAGGTAGTACTCCAAGTCACACCCATTTTTTTGTTTGTTGATTTGTCCATCTTAAAATACCATTAGTTCAAAGTAGGCCACTTACATATTCTAGTTATTTTTGTATGGAGAAATCTACAGCTTTGATAAAATTATTTCACCGAGTTACTGGGAGAGAAATCTCAATTCACCACAGGCAACCAGACTGTGATTTAGACTTTTTTTTTCAGTGCTACTTTTAACATTTTACTATTTTCTCGCCTTATAAAATTTATGCATACAAACAACCTATCACAGACCACTTATTGTCCGTGCTCCAACACTGGAAAGCGGCATTTGCATTGGCAGCCCCCAAATGTGTTTAGGACCATCCCTCTCCCTTAAAGAAAAGCAGACCAACCTGGGATAATTCAGGCAGTGTCTTTTCCAGCATGGGTGTCTGTGACAGAATTTTATCACATATTGACTGAACCACCTTCTGCTTGAAGACAGGCAGAGAGAAGGGACCTTGTTGGGCAATTACTGCTTTCTTTCGCCACTGTTGGGAAAGCGTAGGAAGAAAACAAAAAAACAACAGAAATGAGTTCCATTTTAAGATATAAGAGAAGAATCAGGCATACACCCGGGTTTCCCAGAGTAGACTACATCACTGTGTCAAAAAGAAAAGTTAGTTGTCCAGTTAAAGAAAACTTCAGCAACCAAGATCAGAGAGCACCAAGGACCTCTCAAATCATAATTTATCCCACAGATTTTCATCTATTGTCTGCATTCAAGTAACAAAGAAATTGCTGGACATTGATATGGGAGAAGGGATCATTTGTTTTTATAGAATATTGTGCTATGTGCCATCTCACCATTCTTTGTCCATGGGGCTCAGAAATTTCAGATTTTCTCCTAATAGGTTTCCTTCCCCCCAATATCCTGCTATCCTGATCCCCCCCCCCCCCCCAGATGAAATTGCCAAGAAGCGAATTAGGCCATCTCTGGTACCACCCTGGGAACAAGTAATCAACAGCTTATCCACCCAAACAATGTGACCTTTCAACAGTGACCATGTGCGAAGATATTCTTTTCAGTACTGTATTTGTTTTGCTCTTATGTTCAGTTTTGTCCCACTTTTGTACTTGTGGAAATGCATCTATAGCTGGGCTTATTGGGAACTATGGTCCCATATATCTGAAGGCTACACAGGTGTGGAAAATACCCTCCAAATGTTAGACAAATGTTTTCCTCAGGTAGTGACCATACACCATACTGTTTGGTTATTGGACAACCATTTGTCTGAAATGGTAAAGGCCAGGGTTTCCTGCCTGAGCAGGGGGTTGGACTAGAAGACCTCCAAGATCCCTTCCAACTCTGTTATTCTATTCTACTAAAGGTTAGCTGATTCTGTGGCAGAGGAGGACTAGAATTGGGGTCTCTCTGCCCATAGTCCAGTCCCCACTACCTGATTGGTTTTTGGGCTGAGAGGGAAGAATTGGCTGAAAATCAACCAATGAGTTTCTGGGGCTGAAGGGGGCTAGAACCTGGATCTCTTTGTTCAGGGGTCTCCAACCTTGACAACTTTACGACTTGTGGACTTCAACTCCCAGAATTCCTCAGCCAGCTCATGTCCTTGTTCCAAGTCCAGCACCTTCTCCACTGCCCTACACTGTGAAAAGATCTGTACTCTTAACTACTGAGAGAAAAATGTTCTCCAGGGGCCTGGATAAAGATGAGAGTTGCCTACAATGGGCTAACCAGAAACCCTTTTCACTGGAGATGCCGGTGAATCCTCCTGGGGTTTCCGCTTTCAAAACGTGTGCTCTGTTCCCACTGGGCTGTGGTCCTTATATATTGCACACACGGGACCAGAGATGAAGGTTTCTTGAAGAGAAAGGCTCAGATAAATAACAATAGGGCCTTCGACTTTCAGCCACTAGTTAAGAGATTGTTTGAAGTTACAGTGGCACTGAAAAAATGTGACTCATATGATATCCAGTCCTTGCCCTTATGTCTGTTGCGGCATCCTCACAGTCACGTGAACAAAATTTGGGTACTTGGCAACGGGCGTATGTTTAACAATGGTTGCAATGTCCCAGGATCATGTGATCATCACTTGTGACCTTCCCAGCTGGCTTCCGACAAACAATGGGGACATGGCGCCTTTGCTTAACGGCTGCATGGTCTGCTTAGCAACCGCAGCAATTCGCTTAACAACAGGGCAACAAAGTCACAGCAGACATGACTGACTTAAGAACCACCTTGCTTAGCAATGGATATTTTGGTCCCAATTGTGGTCGTAAGTCAAAGACTACCTACCTACCTACCTGCACAGATACTCTTGTGTGTGTGTAGTCAGATTTTTTAAAACTTAAAAAGTAAAATATATCCGCTTTTGTATTGCCACAAAAAGTTGGTACAGAATCACAGAATCATGGGGTTGGAAAGGACCTTTGAGGTCTTCTAGTCCAACCCCCTGCCCAAGGCAGGACTCTCCTCACACCATCTCAGTCAAATGATTAGCCACAAATGGTATCTACTATCTTGAATCATGTATGTTCAAAAATATTTCTCAAATGAGCTATAAAGGCTGGGCAGCTGAAAGTGACTAATATTTTTAACACCTCAGGATGGAATACAAACAAGCAGGAGGTACTAAAGGAATACAATTTAAAACTTGCTTTGCTATAAAAGGGCATTCAGTAAAATAAAACCTCTGGTTGCCAATAATTTTGGTCAGAAAACCCTCATCTTACTAAAGGCCATGCAATCTTCCATATCTCAAACTCCTGGTTAACTACAGAAGTATTGTAGTACTAAAAGGCTTTTTTTCTTCTTCCTTCAACTCACTTATATCCTTGCTTTCCTAAACATTATGATTCTGGCATTAGTCTATTTAAATTCCTGCTTCCCATCCAAAACCTTTATTAAAAACAGTTTCCAGTGGTTTACGGAAGCCTATTACTACTGTTCTAATTTTAAAATAAAGTTTAATTTCATTTACCCAAACAAAATTTAATAATAATTATAATAGATGAAAAGGGGGTGGAGATAAGGATGTGCAGCTTTTGAAAGGAAACAAAAAATCCAGGTTTTTTCTTGGAAATTAAAAAAATACCCTCAGTTGCCCAACACACTCCTAGGCTTGGCTGAACTGAAAGGCCTTGGCTCCAGCATGTAAAGGGTTAAGTCCTGCCATCTTCATGCCATTCACTGATATGTCCATTAAGGGTGTTACATAACAAAATGGCAGACCTTAACCCTTTCCTTGCCACACTTCCTTTCACTGTCAGTCACACACTTCAGCAGGCTGAATCAAAAACACCTAAAGAAAAACTCCCAAGGCCAAATGGGTTTATGAGATATTCTAATTTGCTTGCAAGAAAGGAGGAGGGAAATAGCCATAGCAACAGTTAAAAGCTTTTCAGAAGTTTTATTTTAAAATAAGACTTTAAAGCTTAAACTTAATGAACAACAACAATTTGAAAAAAGAAGTATAGAGAAAAAAAAAAATCCTGACTTCAATTTTGCATTTTAACTTTTTAAAAAAATAGACAGAAGTTTTAATGCTAACAAAACCAGCTAGTTTTCTTAGCAGGGGAAGCAAATTGTGATTCTATAAACATGGAAATGCATTAAGTTTGTTGTCAGGTATGTTGAGCAGAGATTTAGAACTACCAAAATTACCCCATATTTTCAGATTCCCCCCGCCCCAAAAAAAGATTACACAGCTTTAAGTACTGAAAGCTAAACCTGTTGTAATCTGCCCCCCCCCCCCACCCCAAAAAACCCCTTCAATTTCTGGGATATAACTTGAAGGTCTCTAGAGCCGTGTTGGTGAACCTATGCTGCCTGTGCCGGAAGTGGCATGCAGAGAGGTTGCCTGGAAGAGCCCCGCTGCGCATGCATGTGTCGCCGCCTGACAGCTGACTGTCGAACATCTGGCGTGCATGCGCAGGGGGCAGAGGAGGGGGTGCGCAGGAGACGTGCGTGCATGCGCAGGGACGCACTGTGCGTGAGGGGAACATGCTGCGTACGAGGGGAGTGTGTGCGCATGCGCAGATGTGCTGCGTATGAGGGGGAAACGTGCGCGCGTGTGCAGACGCGTGGTGCGCAAGGAGGGAGTTGCGTGTGTATTTGTGTGGCGTGCGAGGGGGGGTTGCGCACGCATGCGCAGGGGGCGTGGGGCCTTCTGGGTGCTGGCACACGAGCGCGCACGAGTGAGCATGGGTGCAATTATCGGCACGGGAGCCAAAAAAGGTTAGCTACCACTGCTCTAGAGCAGCATTTCTCAACCTTAGCAGTCTGAAGAAGTGTGGACTTCAACTCCCAGAATTCACCAGCCAGCATGGGAATTCTGGGAGTGGAAGTCCCATACATTTTAAAGATTAAAAGTCCAAATACTTCAAAGAAGCTGCTCTAGGCAAGATTTACAGCTGAACTACAACTCCCATCATTCTTCTAACAGCAGAACCTTACTAAGTGAACGCAGAATGGGGATTGATGGAAGATATGGCGGGGGGGGGGAGACTAAGAAATGGGTCAGCCCACATAAGCGAGTGCAGGGATCCATAGCATCTATCTCTGACATGTGACTATCCAACTTCTATTTGAAGAAGGTTTCTAGCAAAAGGAGATCTCATGATGTCATGTGGCAGGCTGTTCCCCTGGCTGACGGCTTGTAGAGGAAGTTCCTCTAGACCAGGGGTTGCCAACCTTTTGGACCTCAGGGACCACCAAACTCATAATTTTAGATCCCAGGGACCATTAACTGGTTCTGTGGGCATGGCCTAATTTGTGGGTGTGGCTTGGTGGTCATGTGACTGGCTGGGCATGGCTTGTATGTAAATATTATAAATATTGATATAAATATTGACTTTTTTTTATAAAAAAAGAGCAACTTTTACCCAAAATCAGGCAAAGCAGGCAGGCAGATTGAGTTGCTCACAGAATCACAGATTTATTCAGAGATCTATCTATCTGCCATTGGCTAGCTCAGTCTGTCACATAAAATTTGCTTGCAAGCAAACTCATAAAATTAACTCACAACACACCATGCATGTAAATATTGAATTTTTTATTTTTAAAAAAGCAACTTTTATCCAAAATCAGGCAAAGCAGGCAGATTGAGTTGCTCACAGAACCATTCAGTGATCTATCTATCTGCCATCGGCTAGCTCAGTCTCTCAAATTTGCTTGCGGTGAGTCTGCACTGGATTTGCTTGCAAGCAAACCTTCAATCCTAAGGGAAGCAGAGCCGAAGCTCTAAAGACTAGCTAGAAAGCAAGAAATCCAAACATTTCCTGCTTCCTAGCTAATCTAAATCTCCCGGCACAGCAGAACAGATGATGGTCAGAAAAAGGAAAAATAGCAACTTAGCAGACAAGTTTGCTGGGTAAGGAGTGAGTGGGCGGGGAGGGTTCCTGCGGGCCATGTGGGTGGCGGCACAGCCTTGTGTTTTTGTGCAGCCTGGATTAATTGCTTTGGGGGGGGGGTGCTCTGGGGGTGAGATTTCTTTGCGGCCCACCAACATTTTCTCACAGCCCACCAGTTGGC